AAAGAAATTAAATGGTCTGTCTCAGAGAGGGTGAAACCAACTCTCTCCTCGGAGGATAGGATTTTGAAGCTCTGCCTCACATACTTTGGGCATGTGGCCAAGAGAGACCAGTCCTTGGAGAAGGACATGATGCTCAGAAAGGTGGAGGGACAGCACAGGAGAGGAAGACCCAGGTTGGCAAGAGATAGAGTAGGGTTTAGGGCTGTTGTACATAGGGTCACTATGAGTAGCAAGCAACTCAATGGCATATTACAACAACAACAGCAACATACGTATGAGGTATATGAGCATTACATTTCCTCAACATACTCATAAGTATTAACATAGTCAATCATTTAGACATTCTGATAGCTGTTCAGTGGAATGACATTAGGTGGGGTTGTTTGTTTGTTTGTTTGTTTTTTCTTGTTGTGTACTGTCAAATCAGATCTGACTGGGACAGGAGGAGATTGCCCTTGCTTCTCCAGCAAAGCATCTGATGGATTTGAACTGTGCACCTTCGGGATTACAGTACAGCTTCTTACAACTAGGCCACCAGAGCTCCCTCACATTGGATTCTATCTGGTATTTCTTAATGACTGGTAAAGCAGAGTATCTTTAAAAGTGATTATTTATAACCAATACATATTCTTTAGTTAAGTATATTTTAAAGTTATCGTTGTTATAACAATATTGATTATATTGTTAAAATATGTTTACTGAATCAAATTTTCTCTAGTTAACTGCATAACTGGAAATGTTGAGCTAGCACAACTTATTACATTGTACTAGAAACAATAATCCTAACTTGGCTTATTTTAAGAAATGTCCACCAGAATTACTTCCCTGTGGATTCTTGTGTGACTCTATGGGTTCACTTGTTTTTGTTTTATCTTAACTGATTGTTGTTTCACTTTTCAAAACACTAAAACATAACTCACATTTCAGAGATGTCATTTTACTACTTCTATTAAGTTATAAACTCATTGGAACAAGGTAATAATTATTTTACTTTATTTCACCCATGTGTAGTGTAATCTTAAACACACTGTAGGCCATTTTTAAGTTTCCAGAAAAGAAAATAATGGTTAGAGAGGAAGATCATCCATGTTTCTGATGAAGGCAAATGTGAATTGAGTGATAACTAAAATTGCAGCTCCCTGTCCACCCCTTCCATGCCAAAAACAAATTTCATAAGTAGTAGGAAGCTTTGTTCATGGACTGGATATGAACTCTAGAAGTTTTAAATCTCCAGAGATTTCCAGAAGAGTTGAGAAAGTCACATGTTACAGAAAGCCCTGTAACTAATGAGACCAAATTACAAAGTTGGATAGGAAAGTTCTCTGCTCTCTCTGATGAGGAGAGAGATAATCCCCTACGGTCTGCTAAGCAGAACCAAACCCCTAGAGCTGAGGAATCTCAAATCCTGATGATTACCAGACAGCATCTTTAAAATGGGAAGAGGAAAATTTCTTAACCCTTGTAAATATTGTGGGTAGTCATAACTGATCACTACACTTATGGCCCTGTCCCTCATTCAGGCCACACAAAATCTAGATCTATAGAAATCTGAGGTTTGCAGGAGCTCCATACCCTCTTCCTCAGTCCCAAACTACAGAAAATTAAAAATGTGAACTACACAGACATTTTCAGTTACTAAGGACTGATGATAATAGGGTGAATTTTGACTCGGCCCACTCTTTTCATACTAGTTCTATTTCTGGCTCTTTTGAGTGGAGAGCAAAACATACTTACAACAGCATCAAACCTATCTGTTGAAAGAATACCTATGTGGCAGCGAATTGGTTTTGGAGCACTGGTAAAGTACTCAAGGTAGGAAATGGGATGGGTAGCTGCCTTCAACTCAACTGTGTCTCCAAAAAGAAAAAAAAATCTTTAAAATAAAATTACAAATTTTTTTTCCAAATCATCATTTTGCTTTGACTTTGAAAAGAGTTTACTCTTTCATCAATTAATCCATTTGTATTTCTTAATTATGATCATTCACGTCTACTAAGGTACAAATGCAGTGAAAGAAAGAATGATTTGGGGGGGAAGGTTTGTAGGAAATGAAAAAATACATACAAGTATTTCATTATTAAAGAATTAGGATCTTTTCAAGTCTACAAAATCCAAAGAATCAGATAAGATTTATGGGGTACAGTCCATTGAGTTATGAATTATTGATGAAACATTTGTAATTTAGGCAATTTTGCTAAATGTACCTTCTTTTGTAATCGTTAGGACTGTGCTGTGAGAATGCTTAATTTTGTCCTGAGTTCAACCTAATTAGAGTAGAAAGCTAGTTGTTTATCTCCATTGCCACAAATTGTACATTTTTCTATACTGAATAACAAAGGGAAACAGAAATTGCTTTTAGATTAAGCAGTTTTAAGGTATTAGCCCATTCATCCAACATTTATTGGGCATTATTACCTTCTTTACACTTTTATATTACCTCTCTGCGAAATACAGAAACACATGATTCATCCTCTGTTTTCTTAAGAATGAGGTAAAGCAAAAGTACCATTAAAGTCAAGAGTGTACATCTAATTCCAAATGTCACTTCCTTGATACAGTTAGTGCATTTGTAATATAGTTACAGCTGTCCTATATACTTCATAGCTAGTCTATGCAATTCATAATTAAAAAGCAAAATTAATGAAAAGAGTAAAGTCAGTAAGTAAAAGAATTGTCAATATGTAGGATTACTAAAAGCTACTTGTTAAGTATTTGGGCAGAAGAGACAGGGAAAACAACAAGTCATTATAACTGAAGACTAAGGGTATGTGTTTATACTAGAACTTACCACTTCATGGAGAGTCAGAAGACAATGAGATGAAAGCAGTTGCACAAGTGTTACAAGATTCCAAGAGGAACTAAATAGCATTTATCTAATAAAATGCTTATCTTTGCACTGGAGAACTAGTCAAAATATCAGTTGTCACCTAAAGATCAGTCTACTATCACATACCTCAATTAATCACTATTAATCTTAAAGGTCCCTGGATATCCTATCTTCCATTAGGGATAAGGAAATCTGTTCTTGTCTTTCTTTTACTATTACAGAACCTAAATGTTTTCTTCCAGGATGAGAAAAAGACTTTGGACTTCATTAGCAGCTGGAAATCATTTCTACACTGGGTTCCAAAATTTCTAGAAAATAAACTCTTTTCATTCAGTAGGTATTTATGGTCTGCTTATTTTTTTAAAATATGTCTTGACTTTGTCAATCATCTAAGTACTTATACCATTGTTCAGGATTTAACTCAAATCTGGATCTCCAAGTGCACCTGAACCCCTTTCTTCTGAATACAATTTTGGATATTTTTCTCTATTGTATTATTAATAAATATTTTTTAAAAAAAAAAAAGAACCAGAGAAAGTTGTTGTGGCACTTAGCAGATAACCAGAAATATGTTTCTGAGTTATTAATGAAGGAAAGAAATCACATCCTTATGTAACTATATTGATTTGTTAAATGAAAGATCAATTAGTAATGTGAGTTACTTAATGATTTGTCTTACACATTTTATTTTATGATATCCATGAATAATGAAGCATTGAGAGTTTATTTTTTGTTTCTTTCAGACTGAAGACTTCAAACTATGCAGACTAACCAGACAATTGCGGAGGAGTTCATCCTTATTGGCTTTTCTCTTTACCCAGATGTACAGATACTACTATTTTTTCTTTTCTTTTGTCTGTACCTTCTCACCCTCATGGGTAACTTGACCATCATGGCTCTAACGTGGGTGGACAGATCCCTGCACACTCCGATGTATATCTTTCTCAGTGCACTCTCCTTTTCTGAGACTTGCTACACGTTGAGTATCATCCCCAAAATGCTGACAGATCTACTCGCCCAAACCAGGAGCATCTCTGTCACAGGCTGTGGCTTACAAATGTGTTTCTTTTTGGGACTTGGAGGCACTAACTGCATCATCCTTACGTTAATGGGTTATGATCGCTTTCTTGCCATCTGCAACCCTCTCAGATATCCATTACTTATGACCAACATAATGTGTGGACAGCTTGTGGCTTCTGCTTGGGCTGGAGGCTTCTTTATCTCTGTGATAGAGACAGCCCTGATATTCAGAGGCTTTTTCTGTAGTCCCAACCTTATCAAACATTTCTTCTGCCATATGAGGGCAGTTGTGAGACTCTCCTGCTTAGACAGTAACCTCACGGAATTCATTGTGACCTTGATCTCTATCTCAGGTTTGTTAGGCACCTTCCTACTCATCATCCTCACTTACATCTTCATTCTCACCACTGTTCTAAGGATCCCTTCAGCGGAGGGCAAACAAAAGGCATTTTCCACTTGTGCATCCCACCTCACAGTGGTCATAATCCATTTTGGTTTTGCATCTATAGTTTATTTGAAACCAGAGTCTTCAGAGGGAGATGACACCATCATAGCTGTCCCTTACACTGTTATTACTCCTTTCCTCAGCCCACTCATTTTCAGCCTCAGGAATAAGGACATGAAGTATGCTTTTCAAAAGGTATTGGGGAAGATATTAGCTTAGATTAAATTGTTACTGGCTTAAAGTGTTATCAATTGTTCCATAAGGCGTAGGTACTTTTACCCTGTGGACTCTGGAGAAATCAGTGCCATTTAATTTTCCAGAGGTTAAGATGTGGACTATATTTGACCACTTTTGTAGCCTAGGTCATAACAAGTATATCTTGTTAAAAAATACATGAAACTTTTGTCTTAGAGTATTAGAAGAGGCATATCCCAGAAGATTCTAGGTGCTTCTTTAGTCTCTGAGTGTTCTGAAAGTCATGTTGTAGAGAATTAAAAAGGTATAAATTAAAATATCTCAACATGGTAAGGCTGGGAAATTTGCCCTGGCCAGATGATGAAATAATATGTTATCCTCTCAGGAGATGAATAAGTTATTACAAAAGAGGTTGTCAGAGCTACCAAGTTTATGTGGATTGAGATGTATTTGTAAGTGTATATGAGGACTGTGCATTTGTAAGAACACATTGTATGATTCTGGTCTTCAAATAATTCTTAGACACTATTTTTTGTAGTATTCAGGCTGTCTTAAGAAGATAGACGGAAGTGAATAAAAGCCAATAGAAGGGGTTCTGACTTTCATGCCTAGGGAGACCTATGGATGATGACTGGAAAGAAGCCTAACTTTATTTAGTAAAGATGTTCAAAAGCAAATGCTAAAGAACTATGTCTTCAAAAAACATTGATGAAAGAAGATGTTTGACAATAATTTTGGCAAAGCAGACAATAGTTTATGCTGGAAATAGATAAACACATTCCACTTCTGATAATGCTCAGGAAGAAAAAGACAATTACATGATAGAAGAACAGTGAGTGGTCATAATTAAATTCAGACGTTCAAGCCTAGCAAAGTTTTAACTAATTTTTTCATTTAGCTGTTAACCAACAGTGTGACCACTTAAGAAAGCCACACATTTTTCACTTGGGTTTTGGTGCATATGGAATTTATATGAAGTGTTGAAGTTTCTGAACTTCATTTACAGGACTTTTATGGAAATTGTTAACCCTTACCAGGTCTCTACTTGCAACATATCTTTTCCTGGGACTTTTGCTTAACCTATGTATACACATAATCTCTTCTGTCTTCACTGAGTGGTCAATGCTCCAATGGCAAAACTGTTTCTTCCCTTTTGTTCTTTCCCCTGAGAACTGGTTATTCAATCTATGCTGTTTTAGTGTTGTTATAAACCACCAAGTTGGAAACAATAAATGATCCTTCAGTATATTTTCAGACTGTAATGTAAATTGCATGGGAGAAGATTGTCGCTCTTTCTTCTGTGAAACAGATGGGTAATTAAAACCATTTGCCTTTATTATTATTATTATTATTTTATTATTTTTATTTATTTATTTATTTTTTTTTTTTTAGGAAGACTCTCTCAAGCTAATTCCAACGAATGGTAACTCCATTAGTTATAGGGTAGAATTAACTCCAAGGATGTCTTCACTGTAATCTTTACAGAAAGAGATCACCAAGTCTTTCCTCCAAGGTACCACTAGGTGTATTTGAACTCCCAATTATCTGGAATTCAAAATGTTCCTACCACTCAGGAACTATGATGTCTGGGAAATAAGTACTAGCAATTTGCTTGTAGCTAGTACATTATTAAGTAATTTTTAATTCATTTTACTTGTCACAGTTTTGTTCTTTGTGTTTAAAAATCCCTAACTAGCCTCTTTTTACCCCTTCTAACTTTCAAAGACTTACTGTAACTGAAGATCTTTTGCTAAGTATGTCTTTAAGAATTTGTAGGTAAATTGAAACAGGTGCATACAGTTCTATTTGGCGTGCGTTAGTGGAAGAAAAGCTTGTAGCCTTTTCAGCTTTTATATAAGCTCCACGTGCATCAAGTACAGGTGATCGTGATGAAGGCTGTGTTGCAAATAGCAGTTAATTTGTTTAGCAGCAAGGGCAAATTTACATATTTTTAAAGGACATATATGAGTTGCCTATGATTCAGACTTTCATAAT